TTAGTAACCTCCCGTAATAATTATTAACATAGTGTACGGGAAAGGTTATGGACGACGTGCAGGCAGCCAGTAGGGACGGAATGCCGAGCGTCGAACAGGGCCAAGGAGCCAGGAGTAGTAGGCGAAAGAGAGAGAGAGAAGGAAAGTTTCCAACTATCGTCAAGTTGGCAGACAAAATAAATGGGAGCGTAACTTAATACACAGCCCAGTGATTGACATCCTAGCCAATGGAGGCCAGGAGCCTGCGTATCCGACCGTTTCAGTCGCCGATCGTAAATTTAGCGAGAAGTCACTGTCTTGTGGTAAGGGAGACTAGCAAGAGAATTGGCAAGCTAACACAGGAAAGTCTATCTAAAAAATGATTAGAGCTTAGCTAAAAGAAAACTATAGCCTAAAAATGCCTAGAAGTATATTACGACTAGGTTCGTAATATAACTAAACTGAAAAGGTAACTTGCTAGTCTCTACCTTGGGTTAACAGTGTGTAGGGAGCACAACCGAGAGGTCAAGGTCGAAATGACCTGTTTCTCTTCTGGTTTAAGGAGCCAAGGAGGTGGTAACTCCGACAAAATTCTGTCTCATAAATTTTTCTGGTTAAAAGTCATATTTTTCTGTCTGGAAACCACAGATAACCATTTTCTTTGTCTTCATTTAAAACCAGTCTGCTAACTGTAAATTTTATTCTCTGAAATAATTGCAGAAATGTATAATCTTTATAACCTGCAAGAGTTGATTAAATTGAAGAAATACCATCATTATCAGTAAGAGAAACTACTGTGAATCCACTACTGGACAAAAACCTTTCCAATTTCCTTCCATGGCAACCATTATGGTGCTATGCTTTTTTTGATGAAATACATAGTGAAAGTTTACTTATTTTTGTTTACTGATTTTGTCATGGCATGGAAACTCTTCTGCTATCAATTATCCAAACTAATTATTTATCATTTATGGAAACCAATAACACAGGATAGTGATTGCCAACAAATTTTGTTTGTTCAGGAATCAAGGATAATGACAGCAAACATTAGGTTAGGTTAAAGGACACACAAAACAGCATAGACGTATGTTGAACACACACACACTATATATATATATATATAATATATATAAGTGTATGTTAGAGTCAACATATATATATATATATATATATATATATAAGTGTATGTTAGAGTCATGAGAAGTCTGTTTCATGCTTATATGCAGTTGTCTATAAGCATGAAACAGACAGTTGCCGCTGGGTGTTAACTTCACTGTACACTTTTATATTTATATATGCTCTATCCCTGATATTGAGCACTTTAACCCATAAATATAGCATACCTTAAAACTATTGTATCATACAGGAGATGGAAAAGTTGTGCACCATAGGGATAATTTATTAAAAGTATAATTACATATGAAAATTTTATTTACTAGTTATTTATTGATATATGTGATTTTCAAAATACATTTAAATTCTGTGTGTGCATAATTCTTTAACACATCAAAGAGTTTCCACTGTCATTTTACTGTATTCATATTTAATTCTTTCTTTTAAGTTCTTCAATATTTCTTGGGCATGTCTGATAAACAACTGATTCCAAATGACCCCACAGAAATAAATCCAAAGGTGTGAGGTCTGGTGACTTCAGTGGCCACTGAATAAGATCTCTTTGAACTATCCATTTGTTAGGGAAATATTCGTTTAAAAAGTCATGCATAATCAAAACAAAATGTGGTGGTGCTCCATCTTGTTGAAAGAATATTTGTTTTTTGCTAATGAAACATTGCACACTAAATCTCGTAAGCATGTTGATAGCATGTGAAATTATGTTTTACCTGTGACATTAATTAATTAAGCCCTATGGTGCATGACTTTTGCCTCAGCTTGTATATATCTCACCTTAAATAGAATTGATGTAAACATCTTGATACTAAAAAAGTGGGGAGGGAATATATCTTAGGAACCTTTCAGCCAACTCTTTGTCAGAGAAAAAAATCATTGATGAAACAATTATTATTCTTTTGAACAACAACATACAATTTAAGAGAATAAATGTGAGAACAAAACTGTTGCACAATTCAAATATGAAATCATCTTAGAGTTTAGAAAATCAATAAAATTTGTAAAATTAAAAATGAATAAAATTGATAAACAAAACTGAAAAAAACAGAAAAAAGTTTCAGGAGAGGAAAAAAATTAATGTTTTCCCAAAAGAAGAAGGGAATGAACAAAATTCTCCTTTTGCTTGCAAAGAGCAGGTCTTTTCAGTTTTATAGTGACTGCTTCAAGCAAATGCCGAGACCACACTTCAAACCAGTTCTCTCCATATTGACCAGAACATGCAGGATTATTAATTAAGTGTTAGCCAACTGTGTTGAACTATGCAACTCACCCCAACTTTTATAGGCTAGAACATGCTGCTTGATTCTTGTAAACCAGCATAAACTGATTTGACCCACATAATCAGGATCACATCAACATTTGAAATAATACATAACAGAACTATTCAAAAATGGGTATTAATCAAGTTGATCTTTCTACTTCTTGGTGTGACACTATTTAGCTATGGTAATTGGCTAACTAATTAAGCATAGAAATTAAAAACAAGAAATACTTAAGGCAAGAAACAGCTATATCGAAAGACAGACCGAGCGACATTTTTTTTTTAACAAAAAAAAAAGAATGGGAAAAGATTTTATTTCATTTACGAAGAAAGATACTTTTTTGCAGAAGACAGAAAATCCGTAAGAGAAAGCCAGATTTCAGATTCTGTCAGAATTAATTAATGTCATGATCAGATAGTGACGCGCCAAGGGAAACAGAATTCGGGGAGGAATGACAAAGCTGACCACACACAGCGACCATAAAAAAAATTTTGGTCAACTGCATACAGGCAGAAGAAATCAATATTGGTTATCTATCAGAGAGACCATTAATATTTTTCATTCTTGGATTCTGACGAAGAAAGCCAGCCGTTATGTATACAGATCTTGATATGATCATTGTTATTGCTTATTCAAACTGTTGACGACAGACTTAATGTCGCCGAAGGTGGGAATCTGGTGATACGAAAATTTTAAGGCATTAAGAATTTGCTTTTCAGGTGGAACACGACCACCCAGTTTAAAAGTTGACTAGCAAGTGATTAATGAGTTGGTAGAGATTCTGCTAAGTGGATTTTGGGTGGCTCAGGATAAGATAAAAATTTAATTATGGCCACATGGGATTCATAAGAATTCTGGCCGATAGAAAAGAAGGAAAGAAAATAAAAGAGAATTTTTTTTCTGGACAATAATTTTAAGAAGGCCAAGTCTAGTCACACCCATGCTGCCGAACAATCATTGGCCAAGTGGTGGCGTGAGTGATAGGCAAAGGTGAATGTATGAGAAAGGCAGGGAAGTTGTTGACACCTACTGAGAGGATTGGTATGAGATAACAATATGAGAAAGGAAGAGTCTAGGAGGATAATTCTCCTTCGACCTCTCCTCACGGACAAGGGGGAAAAACCCCCAAAATGGGAAGTAATAAATTTTTCTGTCCTGAAGACAAAGAGAATTTTTGTTGGGAATTAAGAATTGTCAAAGAACCCAAACCACGCCCAGCCCCACACCGGGTTTTGGTCAGTGTCCATATAAACGAATGTCCCCGGGCCCACAGTGAGTTGGGTTGGAGATTGGAGATGCAGACACAGATCGACAGAGAGCTGTTGGGCTCAGAGAATAACGCCTCGCAGGAGCAGACCAAGATTTCACGCCTTTCAACTTAGTCTTCCTACCAAAAGCAAGTTTTTATCGACGAAAGACTTAAGATACCATAACTCGCTTAAGAAATGCAAAAAGTGTCATGAATCCATAGAAACAGGCCGGGAGAGAAACACTCTTGTATTCAACAGATAGAGTTAATCATTATTTCTCAACATATTTGAACCTTGTGAGTTTATTTTATTTATTTTTCTTTTACTTACGCTTGTGCGGTATCACCTTTACCCTGGATTCAGCTTGTGCTACGGCCCGATGCCTGATTGATTTCGTCTACCTAAGATCAAAGTCACAACGTGGGTAGGTTAGACTTGAGATCAAAGCAGTTACTTTGGTGACCAAGCATTGGAGGCGAGCTGAGAACAACGAGGCTGGTATCGAACCGGAAATGACCAGATCAACCAGGACACAGGCTGGTGGCAGCGACAAGGAGTCAACCCCAAATGCTGGTGGAAGAAACCTTACAGCTTCGCGCCGCAACTGGGAGTTGACCACGGGTCGACGGCGCAGCATCATATATTGAGGTTGTGACCAGTGGATGTCCAATATTGGCGCTGACACTGCGACCGCGGCCACCGGTGGGTGTCACATTGGTACAAAGGATTTCTAATGAAATTAAACACATAAATGAAAAAAGCACTCGAGTTATATTTCCATGTGCAATTTGCTACTTAAAATCTGTTTGTGAATCAAACAAATTGTAACAGGCAATAAAATGTTAATACTTTACAATAATAAATAATGTAAGAGATTATGGGGTAGGTGAAAATAGTCACCACTAACCAGCCACAGGTCAGTCTCCAGCCAATAAAATTGAGGCTGTGTATATAGTGGCACTGGAAAGAAGTCCTTTTTTTTCAATTCCCTGGATGACTGCAAAAGAAATTAAGTTCTTTACTGAGAAGATAAAATATTCTAAGAAGGTAAATGATGAAGTTGCTTGAAAGATAGAAAAATATTTAGGAACAAAATGATAAATATGTTGACTAATAAAGTTACTGTCAAAAATAAAAATTGGTAATTTAATCAATGAACCAAAAGTTTTGGGATAGACCCCCAGGTTTTCTTGGGGGGTCTATTTAATGAGAATTTGTTTATAAAATAAACAGTAGAAGCTTTTTCTTAAAAACTGTCTATAAAAATAAAGATGATTCATTTTTATCAATTGTTGCCTTTCTTCTGTTTATATCTTTATTTAAAAAGAATATTGAAATTCAAATCAATTCTTGACTCATTTGATCAAAATTGTGTTTGTAGTTATTCCCACCAGGCCAAGATGATTTATTATATGTCACAGCAGGGCAACAATGTGGCTTCCCTCTTGAATGTCGAAAGTATAACAGGTAAGCTTACATTACTGAATGTCATAGCAAGACAAAAATATGGCTTCCATCTTGAAGTTCAAAAGTATATGTAAACATGTTACTCTTTGTAGATAATGTATTGTGTTACTTCTGTATTGAATATTTAAAGCTTCTTACTAGGGCAAGATGATTTATTATAATACAGGTCCTCTCTTGAATGTCAAAATCATAATGTTTGTTACCCTCCTCAGAAGATGATTCATTATAAAGCTTACCACTTGAATTTCAAGAGTATAACAGGTAGTTTGTCACTCATTCTAAGCCAAGAAATTTTATGTCACAAAAGGGCAAAACAGTGGCTTCCATCTTGAATGTCAAAAGTATAACATGTAAACATGTTACTCCTCACCAAGAAAAAGTGACTTTTTTATGCAGCTTTTTTTCTTGAATGTCAAAAATATAACAGGTAATGTCGTTATTCTCTTCTGATTAAGATGATTTAATATCTCATTCCCCTCTTGAATGTCAAAAGTACAACAGGTAAGGTTGTTATTCTCTTCTGATTAAGATGTTGCGATATGTGTTTTTCCTCTTGAATGTCAAACATATAATAGATAAACTTGTTACTTCCAAAATAGCAGATGATTTATTATATAGCTTCATTTTGAATTTCAAAATTATTATGGGTAGTTTTACTTCCTTCAGGCTAAAAGGATTTTTATGTGACTTCTCTCCATTGCCCATGTATACTATATATATATATATATATATATAGAAATAATTGTAATATACAAAGTGGATGTTAAAAATTGATTATATAAGTTAATGAATAGATATTTATAATGTAGTTTGCTGTTTGAGAGATTTCTATAACTTATGAACTTCTCTGAACAATTAAAAGATGAAGTTTTTCTTTTAGCAATCCATTTTTGCTCATGAAATTCTTGCTCGCCACTGAGCTTTTATAAGTAAATCCACAGCACTTATATGTAAAATTTAGAACTTAGAAAGAGATTGACAAGTATCTTAAGTGGCCTGGAATTGTACAAAACATCCCCTGCACACCCTTTATTTTATTTCTCATTTTGTGGCCGTTTTAGCATGACTTAAAAGCTTACACCACAAAAATTTATTTATACATATTCCCACCCCCATCTCTCTCTTAGGTAAAATTGATTTCACAATAACAAATACACAACAGAACAATTTTTTTTTTCACCCCAACCAAGGTGAGAAGAGAGAGAGTATGGAGAGTGTAAGTAAATGAGTACATTGTAAAAGGGGAGGATTGAGGAAAGGACAAAAAAAAGGAACATGATTTGAGAAGTCAGAATATGTCAATTCATGTTGCATTTAAAATATTGAAGATTGTAGTTATCAGGGAAGCAAGTGGGAAGTGTGAGAAAAAAAAACTGTTAGACTAGAAATAACAATTGCATCTAGCTAGTTCAATAGTAAATCAGTGAGACTTAGTTGTCAACCTAGTAGCATGCTTAAATTCATGTAGTTAGGGCACTGTTATATTTTCGTAAAGAAAATAAAAGAAAAGAAAATAGGAAACTATCTTTACTGTCCACGTCAAATAGGAAACTATCTTTACTGTCCACGTGACTTTTTCACACGTCCCCATTCCTCTTTAAAAGCTGCGTTCTTCTTCTTCGTATCGTTGTCCAAAGCGTACTATCAGATTGAAATTTGCCCTGAAGATCGTCCCTATACGGCCTTTCAAGCTGGAAACCGTCTGTACCAATTTAAACGAATACACATGGGTGTTACTAACGGGGTTTCTGCCTTTCAGCGATTTATGAATTCTTTCATTTCTGATAACAAATTATCTGGAACCTTTTCGTATATAGATGATATAACTGTTTGTGGTAAAACCCAGGAGGAGCACGATGTCAATTTGGAATGTTTCTTAAAGGCTGCCTCGACATACAACCTCGAAATAAACCGGGAAAAATCAGAGTTTTCACTTCGTTCTATTAACGTGCTTGGATATCAAATTTGTAACGGAACTATCAACCTGATCCTGAGCGTTTGAAGCCACTTTTACAAATGCCTCCTCCTCCCGACTCAAATTCGTTAAAAAGGTGTCTTTGTATGTTTGCTTACTATGCGAAATGGATACCTAAATATTCACACAAAATTCATCCACTGGTCGAAAATAAACAATTCCCTATGCCTCCTATAGTTATAAATTCTTTCGAAAAACAAACTTAAGAAAGACATTGCCGAGTCATCTGTAAAAGTTATTGATGATGAATTGCCATTTACCATTGAAACCGATGCCTCAGAAAAGGCTATTGGAGGCACTCTTTTACAAGCTGAGTGACCTGTAGCATTCTTTTCTCGGTCGCTAAACCCCTCTGAAATACGACTTCATATAGTCGAAAAAGAAGCATATGCTATAGTCGAATGCGTTCAGTAAATGGAGAGACCTCCTTGCGGTAAACATTTTACTATTATTACTGATCAACAAGCCGTATCTTTTTATGTTTAAACCTGCTAATCGCGGAAAAAATTAAAAACGATAAAATTATAAGGTGGAAAATGGAACTTCTTCCCTTTTCATACGACATAAAACACCGTCCTGGAAATGAAAACACAGTTGCGGATACCTTATCCAGAGTATGTGGTGCTGCTGCTTCTTCCTTGAAGGAACTTAAATCGATACGATTCCTTAATACATCCTGGGGTACAGCGCTTTTGGCATTTTGTAAGGTCTCAGAATATGCCGTGATTAAACATTGATGAAGTCCGACGTGTGACTTCTGAATATACGACCTGTGCCAAAAACAAAACCCCAATTCTTCGATTCTACTAGTAATGTTCTGATCCGTTCTACGCGCCATTTCAGCGTCTCTCCATAGACTACAAAGGGCCTGTCCCAGTATCCCGACAGGTTACCGATATATACTTACTGTCATCGATTTAATATAGTCGATTTCCTTTGCCTTTCCTTGCCGCGATTGCTCTTCGCCAAACTGCTATTCAGTGCCTGACAAGTATTTTCTCCATTTTGGGCTTCCCTCGTTCATTCACTCCGATCGAGGAACTTCGTTTATGTCAGGAGAATTTAAACAATTTCTAACACGACTTGGAATTGGATTCAGTAATACTACTGCTTATAACCCTAGAGGCAATAGCCAATGCGAGCGTTACAACGGCATAATTTGGAATACCATATTATTGGCCCTGGAATCGAAACAGTTACCAATTAGTGCTTGGCAGGATGTTCTACATGATGTGTTAAATGCTATCCGCTCTCTACTATGTACCACTACTTAATGCAACCCCCCCGAACGAATGTTCAATTTTGAAAGGCGGTCCTCCACGGTACTTTCGTTGCCTGTTTGGCTCTGTGAGCCTGGGGAGGTATTATTAAAACGATTCGATGGCAGAAGTAAATATGACCCTATCGTTGAGGTGGTGGAACTCCTTGAGGCCAATCCTACGCATGCCAAAATACGTCACAATGATGGCCGGGAAGATTCGGTGGCGCTGAGACGGTTGGCACGTTTTCCACGCCCGGATGGACCTGAAAATACTCAACCCGACGTGGACCACGCAGATTCAACCCTTTTGCCTGATGCAGGTCCCGTTAATATTTCTTCACCTTCCACAGAAAATGAATCTGTGAATAATAGCCAGAATCCTGAAAGTCAGCCTTCTCAGAGGTCTGGCTCTTCCAGTGGTGAACTACCTCTACGCCGGTCTAGCAGGATTCGTAGACCAATCCAACGACTGGATTTATAAAACCTATTCAATTACAATCTCTTTTGCAAGTGGGGGAGAATGTTATATTTTTGTAAAGAAAATAAAAGAAAAGAAAATAGGAAACTATCTTTACTGTCCACGTGACTTTTTCACACGTCCCCATTCCTCTTTAAAAGCTGCGTTCTTCTTCCTTTGTTGATTGCTGCTGTGAATTAAGTTCAGTAAAGCCTTAGTGAAAGGTTACTAGCTTTCTTCTCTGAGCAACGTAACAGGCACCAAGTAAAAAAGCTTGACCAAGCAGTTACCATGAAAATATTTGTAGAAAAGGCAGCGGGAAGCCATGTCATGTTGGTGAGAGATTGAATGAAGATAAGATGCCTGGTCAGGACTATTTATATTGCAGACCTTTCTCTGGAATTTCTCAAGAATCTCAAGATGCACAGTAGGAGCACCAGACACAATATGGTAACAGTATTCAACACGCAGATGAATGGTAGATTTATAATTGTGCAGGATGGATTCTGATGAGAAAACTTATTTTAGCATGACACAGTGAACCAACCTCCCTTACACTCAATATAGTCTCTCCATTTCATGTTAGGAGAAAACATGAGGCCAAGAAAGCATAGTGTTGCTCCCTTAGAGTTCGGCATCAGCCATCCTGATGGTAGGCAGAAAAGCTTCTCTGTGGTGATCAAATGAAAGCAGTTTTGTTTTAGTGGCATTGAAATTTACAAATCATTTCTTGTCCCAATTAACTACTGACTGGGGGTCCTCTTCAAGAGTAGTTGCTAGGTTTACTTTGTCAGATCTTTTGGATTTGCTACTAAGGCAGGAGTAAATGGTATTGTCATAGGTCCAAGGATAGAGTCCTGGGGTACCACTGCATTATTATGAAATGATCTGGAAGTATGCCTGTTGAATATGATCTTCATTATTCAATTGGTTAGGAATGTTTGGATTAAGTTAAACATACATCCTGTGACACCCTGGTCCTCAAGCTTGCATAGAAGGCCAGCATGTCAAACACCTTTGATATATGGTAGACCCAGTGAAACGGAAGCTATATTGTTTGTCCAAAAGGTCATGTGAGGTAAGATGCTTAACCAGTTCAGCAGTAGTGCTGCAAATACAAAAAAAAAAGCTAAAAAAGAGGTAAGAGACTAACAGGGCAATAATTTGAGGGGCCAGAGGGTTCCCCAGATTTCTTATAAACAGGAAATACAGAGGAGGACTTCCAACAAGCTGGAAAGCAGGAAAGTGAGGTATTTGCTGTAAGGTCTGGAGACAACAGGAACCAGCTCAGGATCACATTTCTTTAG